GAAATTTTGAGGTGTTGTAAAGTGCAGAACCGATGCATGTTACATGTACAATGGGTCTGAGAGGGTGTCCCTCTTTGTGATGTTAGATGGAACCACAGATGGCGGGTGGTATACCATTGTTAGATCTCAACTTGAAGTAGGTGGATTCATCAATCTTTTCTTGTTTCTTTAAATTCAAGAGTATGGCATTGAGTTCACGTTCAATTCGGCTGAAAGGGGATCTCGTGATAAGCTCGTAGGTGTTTCAGTCCGCGAGGAGAGATTTCATTTTGTTGTCGTACTCATCTCTATCCATAACCACAAAACAATTTCCTTTGTTGGCTTTCATGATGACTCGGATTGACGACCAGTGCAATGTTGTGTACAAAATCCCTTGCGGGTCTTGTCCCTGGAGTTACATTGGCGAGACAAAAAGATCATTTAGTACAAGGCGAAAAGAACATATCGGAAATACCAAACAATGTGCTGAAGGCTCCAATGTAGCGAAACATGCCTGGACCTTTGATCATACCATCGACTTTAACAATGCTGAGATAATTGACAAAGGCAGCAGTCGCATTAGAAAGACGCTGGAATCCTGGCACAGAGCGAAAACGGTCAAGGCCAGCAACAATTCGTGCCCTCTGCCGGGACAATATAACATTCTTTTAAGGAAACACTAATTTTACACTTTTAGCATTCTCACATTCTTTCACACATATTCTATTTAATATATGCCATTCGCTTGTTATATTCAAAAACTTTTAGGTCTATTTTATCATTTCATTTTTGTCTGTCAAAGACAGCAGACTGGCTGTTGAAAGCTCACAACTTTACACAATTTTACCAGAGAACGTTTTTTACCTCCTTTATAATGAATCCTGGTATCGGATCTTCAATATTTTTACAAAGGTTTTTCATTTGAGTTTCACGCCAAAAATGAGTTGCGTGACTTGCAACTGGTGTCTCAGATTACCTTTGTGAGTCCTTGACTTGAATCATGGAACATATTGATACCTTTAATAACTAAAATGTCCTGCAACTGTTGTTCTGAACAATCTCCTATGTAAGATGCTGAAATGCCACAGGAATTTAGGTTCGAGACCTGATCTTTCATGAGCGAAATCAGCAGAACCACATGCACCAAGACGACGGCATTGCTATTGCTACTGGTCTCTCCGTTTAAACAATGAAATGCGTGTGGAGCTAGCTCTAAAGTTAAGCTCTTCCCAGTTCCGGTTGGGGCTGAAACTTGCCTCTTGGCAGGCTAGGCCGAAACAAACACATCTCTTCTGGACCAATACTGCACTTCCACTTTCTCTTCCTGGTAGTCACGCAATATAGAATATTCCGTGGCCTTTGAGGCTTCCTTGTTAATCACTTTCACAATCGACCCCAAGTTACGGCCACAAGTCACGTTTTGTTGACAGTTCTGTCCCCAAGGAATATACATGGCAACTCTGATTGGTCTAAGCGCAGCAACCTATTTTTGGGTCGCTAAAATTGGCGCCAATCAAGTATTAAAAGTCCTTCATGTGGTAGGTAATGAATAAACAAGATGAAGGACTTTTCTGAAAGTCTAGGGCAGAGCTTGCTTCCTCATACTGTATATACATGTAAGCTGTCCTAATGCACGTAGTTTGCTTTAGTTTTGGAAAGGGCAATGACACATACATGTGTAAGAGTATCAAACACAAATTTGTTATTGTCTTCATAAGATTCCATGTTGAATAAAGCATGTTTGTATTTGAATAAATTGAAGTTTCATGGTAATTCCTGACAGAGGAACCCCTATTAAGCAGCTACCTCTCATTTTCCCAAGGGTGGCTGGCTACTTGACAGGGGTTTGACTGTATGTTAATTTAAGGGCTTGAGTTTTAGCACTTTGCGTGCATTGCATGCCTATTATACAATTTTCTTTTCTCATGTTAGATTTCGTCTCACAGAAGTGGCTAAAATTGACTCAAAGGAAGTGGATGATTTTCTTGAAGCCAATGGCTTGGACTACAAACCAGTATGCACAATAATATCACAAGTTATTTAAATTTTATTATTACTTTCAGAACTTGATATAAACAAATCTCTTTTTCTTTGAACGAGGGAGCTTGAATTGAGTATTCTTTATAGTAACGATACAAGTAGATGGGTGTCTTGTTTTTGTTTATGTTTTCTTTTTTGTGTGCAGATTGACCCTGCAGAAAGAGAAGAAAAGGAGTCAGAGCTGATGGATGCCGGCTTCAACCTCTCCCATCTTAAAGTTGTGGCTACTGACTATTTCAAAGTAAACATGTACTTCTTGTATTATTTGTCAATGTATGAACACTAGCTAGTGTAAAGACTGCTTTCCAGAGAACAACCACACTCACTTCCAAGTAAAGAGTTAAGATGTTGACTCTTCCGCATTGCAAATCTTCCACCACCTTCAAGAGTAATATGTTATTTTATTTCCAGGTTCCCTTTGTTGAAGCTCTTGATCTAGTAAGATCAAGAAAGGTTTATCTGGAAAATGTAAGTAACAAAAAAAACGTGGCCTGTCAAAGTGATTTTGTACTTCTTATAATGATATAGCTTAGTTATTTAGTGATGTTCTCTGATTTGCTATATAACCTTTTTATCTTTGTGTTGTTGCAGGGTTTTGCATATGTCCCTAGAGATGATCTTGTATCCCTGGTAGCTAATGAATTTCGTATGCAATTGTCTCGGGCGCTTGCAGTAAGTGTCTTTTCACTTTATATCATCATTCTGATGGGTTTCTTGTTCCATTGTGTTATACAGTTGAACCTCCGGTTGGACCACCTCTCATCAGCGAACAGTTTTCCAAAATACCAAAAGTTTCCAAGTCAGATCATTATAATAAAACCTCTTGTTAGCGACCACAGTTGAACCTCCGGTTGGACCACCTCTCATCAGCGAACAGTTTTCCAAAATACCAAAAGTTTCCAAGTCAGATCATTATAATAAAACCTCTTGTTAGCGACCACAGTTGAACCTCCGGTTGGACCACCTCTCATCAGCGAACAGTTTTCCAAAATACCAAAAGTTTCCAAGTCAAATCATTATAATTGAAACCTCTTGTTAGCGACCACCTCTCATAAGCGACCGCGATCACTTTTAGGGCTAAAAATTTGAAATT